GGTGGTTCGCCTCTTACTGCGTAGGTTGACAAGGGGTCTATTTAAGGTACAACCCAAGGTCGGCAATATCGGCAAGGTGAGAGGACTAAAGTACCTCAAGTCTCGAGGTAAGACGACTGGCAGCAAGGGAGTGACAGCGGTGGTGATTGGGTCAAACGCCCAATGACATCAACCCTACCTTTCCTTCCACCTGCCAGAGCTGAATTCAACCTGACACATGCGCTGTATCTGTATCGAATCGACCCAACTCAACGCGGCCTCTTACCCATACTTATTGCGGGAATAAACTTGGCTTGACAACAGTGAACTATTATCTTACCTTATCTTACTTTGCTTTTGTGCTTCCTGGTGAGCGTTTGCAATAGGCACCGTCCTTTCCTTACCCTTGCTTTGAGAGACGGCTGGAGCTTTTGAGCCTGCGCCTTCGGTCTCGCCTCCGTAGGCCTACTGGTACTCCCCAACTCAATTGTCACTCAGCTCTGACAGCGAGGCTTGGAAGAGGGCTCAGCCACACCCGTCTACGTCGCCTCCTTGTGAACATCACGCTGTGTTCTATCCATACGGACAACATCGAATTAATCATCGTCTATTACCAGGAAAGCCGAGACAGCGAGTCGCCTGAGCTTTTCGGCCTTTCCCGCATCCCGCGGCGACGCAGCCATACCGACGACGCCGACTGCGCCGACTGTAGCTTCTGCTTCTTTCCACGACTTCCGATGAAAGCTCCCTCTCGATTTCTTGCAGGTTTCTGATGAACTGAAGCGAACCTTCCTCACTCCTCTTCCGCCGTCGTTCTTGGCTACCTCACCATACTATTCCATACACCTCACTTCTAACGCAAAGCATTACGCGCAGCCAAGAGAAAAAAGACCAAGACCGGGAAAAAAATAGATACCACCCCACCTAGGTTGCTTGGACTAGATTGCCCCTCATTCCAATTCGGAGCTCGCACGGTGCAATACGTTCACTTAATTGAGGTTGAGGAGCTGTTTTGCGACGTCTGGTGCGCCTGTTTGTCTGTGCCTCATCCCACCTCCGACCGGCAAAACCACCATTGCAGAGAACCAAAGTCGTGGCAGCACATTACACGAAGCGCACTGGGTACCTGAACCACATACCATCAACCGACGACACCTCCCACACCACCACCACCAGAGGATATCCTCTTAAACAAGGAAGGCGCGGACTGAGCAAATACCAGAAACCCACAACCATGTCGATCAGAATAGCACTCGACAATGCGCCAGAGTTCTACACCAACCTAGACAATGTCAAAGGCCGCGTCGTGCTCCACCTGAGCCGGCCGGAGCAGATTGGCGGCATCGTCGTCAAGCTTGAGGGTGAGTCCAAGACCGCCCTCGGTCTGCCGCAGGACAGCTATCACGAGCGTAACACCCGGCCCGGAGGCGGGCCCGGGAGCATCGCAAGTGAGAACCACAAAATCCTCTACCGGGTCGCACAGGTTTTCCCGACGTACGAGGAGGACCTCGGCGGCGGCGGCTCGAGTTTCTCCCAGAGCTACGTCATCCAGGGAGGCCAGCACGAGTTCCCCTTCAACTTCAAGCTGCCCATCAACAATGCCTGCAGCGATCCCGTCTCCATGTCCAAGATTGGTGGCATCGGCGGCATGGGAGGCTTCGGCGCCGGCATCGGACCCTTTGGACTCGGCGGTGCCCGGGTCATGGACGGGAGCAAGCAGCTCTTCCTGCAGCACGTCACCAAAACCTTGCCGCCGTCCTTCACCGGGTTCCCCCGGCAGGCCGAGGTGCGGTACTACCTCAAGGTCACCATCCAGCGCCCTGGCTTCTTGAAGGAGAACTGGCGGTACCAGATCGGCTTCAAGTTTATGCCCATCGAGCCACCCCGGCCTCCAAAGACCTCGCAGGAAGCCTTTGCCCGTCGACCTTTCACCTTTAAGCCGCGGCCCCGGAGCTTACAGACGAAGAAGTCAACCATGTTCGGCTCCAGCAGGGACGACGGCACCGGGGACGCCAATGCCGTGCCGCCGTCCATCGAGCTCTCTGCGCGCCTGCCACACCCCCCGATCCTGACGTGCAATCAACCTTTACCGCTACGGCTCATCGCAAAGAAGCTCGTTCCGTCACATGAGCAGGTATACCTCACCTCCATCCAGATCGAACTCGTAGGCAATACCCGCGTACGATGCCACGACCTCTTCAACACGGAAGTCAGCAAATGGGTCGTCGTCACGCAGTCCGGTCTCAGCATCCCGCTCCTCACGGACCCGACCTCGGAAGACCTGAATCTCGAGAGCGTCATCCCGGACGACCTGTGGCGCTCCATCCCGCTACCTAACACCGTCGCGCCCTCCTTTATGGCGTGTAACCTCCAGCGCTTCTACGAGCTCGACATCCAGTTGGGTCTCTGCTGGGGCAAACCACCCACGCGCGGCGGCTTCCTTAACTCGACAAAGGAGAACCCCGCGGCGCAGACCATCTACCTCCCGCTTCACTTCTCCAAGATTCAAATTTACTCGGGTATCGCGCCACCGCCGCAGCTCCTCGAGGCGCTCGCGGCGCAGGCTAACAGGCCCGGCGCGGCGACGATGAGCATGCCGCCTAGGTTACCCCCTCGCACGGCGCAGTCTGCCCCCGTGACGGCCACGCAGGGGAGACCACATGGTCAACAGCAGCAGAGACCACCGCAGCAACACCCTGCTATGGCGGCGCCGCAGTATGATCCGCTGTATCCGCCGCAGATGGGCACGCCTGGAGCAGCCAACTTCGACGAGGCGCCGCCTAGTTACGATGAGGCTATGGCTGCGGAGGCGCCTGCGCCGGGACCGGAGTCGAGGCCGGCGTATAGTGGCGTTACGAACGAGAATGCGCCGAGTCAGATTCCGGAGAAGGGGAATTAGAGAAGGTGGATGAGAGCTGAAAGGGGGGTTTGGAAGTGGGTGTGTTTTGATGTTTGTGTGTTTTGAGATGCTCGGGCTCCTTGGGAGAAGATGCGGGTGTAGATTGGAGGGATAGGAATACATTGGGGAGAAACTAATGAGTAATGTCGGGGTTTGCTTGGTATGTTCTGAGAGGGCTGGTGGAAGCTCGACCAGTAGGCACCGATTTGGGAAGGGGGAAGGAAAGGGATTAGTGAAGGGTGAAGCGTTTTCGTTTATTATACCATGACCAATATTGAGGGGATGTTATACTTTGAACTACATGACTCTTCACAGGGCACTGCTTTCGTGGCTCTATGACGAGGGAAGACTTTGGCATGTTTTGTTTTCGTGGTGTGGTCTCGTTTGACCAGATAAAGCGGAGCTGGAAGGGTACTTTCTTTCCAGGTAGCATGCCGGGTATCTCTTCAAGTATAGCATAGCCATCAGTAAAGCTTCCTAGTGTTTGTGACGCTATATCCAAGGCACAAGCCGTGTCTGTAAAGCTACCAACTGAGGTATCGCAGATGTGAAGCTTCTCTCTGCGCTTTCCGAGACCCCGTGTATGTCTCCGGATCCCCGGGACTTTGGATTGCGGAGGTATAAAAACTTTCGGTCATGAGGCACCTCATTTCGTTTACAACGCAGCAAAACCCCCACTGGTTGACGAGTTGCAAGGTGGAACAGTCATGATAGCCTCTAGAAACGGCGGGTGATCTGAGCCAAGGCAAGACACATGCTCCCACCGCATCCCTGCACGGGTCTTTCTGAAAGAACGAGAGAAGGCTTACTATATTGGCATTCCTAGTCGGCTCAATATTCAGGGGCGAATAGAAGGGAAATGGCAAAGGTTGTTGACTGGCGCTGTAGTTGAAGTCGATTTTCTCCCATCTCTGCGTGGTGTATCTCGTAGAAGCCTGACCAAAGTTGCCGCTCTCGAGCACTTCACCGCCCTCGCCCACCTGCAGCTCGGCATCTCCCACGCCGCCGATGCGCAGGGGCTTTGCCAAGGAGACTTTTCTCGACGCAACAAGCCTTGTTTTATACTACTGGGCATGACGCAGATCAACCTAGCTAGATGCCCGCAAAATTTCCTGATGGTAGGACCAGTTGGAAGGAAGGAGTCACCGCTCTACCTTATTATCAAAGGCTGGCTTCTGTAAAGGGTTCTAAATTCCGCCGACACAGCCTTGCTCATCCTTTTCATAGTCTCAGTCTATCCAGACTCTAGGTAATGGGCCTTGCTATTGTCACTTCTCTTCTAGTCTCTCGCATGGACCATGATAGTATCCAAAACCGTCGCCAAGGTATCAGTTATCTTCTCTATATTGTATAGTATTCACTAGTGAATACGAGCCAGAGGGATGGAGAAGAGGTGATGAAAGTCTTTAGCTGACTCGACGGTGCACCTAGCTCTAGGTGCTATACAGCAGCAGCATTCTTTCATTCTTTATCTAAGGAACCCTTGACTTGAGATCTGCTTGTCGCTTCGGATCTCGATGCAGTACCCTATCATGGCTACATACATGTGCGTTGCTGGCTTCTTGTTGCGGCTGCGATTACGGCTATGCTATTTATAAGCTACAGATAGTATGGATAGATTGTTTCCTTTGGGCTGATATGATGATGGGCCCTGAGAGTGACGCGTCCTCGTCGGAAGTTGGACTCGATCTCTGGAAACTAGCTCAAAATTCTAGCCATGGGACTTATAGTGCCTACTGCTGCCGGTGAGTGAATGCGAAGCTGTCTTTATTGATAACCCCTGTAGTAGTAACGTGCCTTACTCCGGGGAATTTGACTTTTGCCATGCAATGCAAATCTATGTCAATCATGGGTGATAGACATTCCATTCATGCTCGTGCTCTCGTGATACATGTCGTAGGCTCTCTTTCCTCTCGTAGCCTTCTGGTCTAAAAGTTATAATACGTCTCAATGCTTACACGTCTTTTGGATCTATTCCAGCCGATAACGCCATTGCTCGCTGCGTCTATCCCTTGCTCGTTCGTAGTCTTACATGCCTCCTAGTTGAGATTACAGTAGTAGCGAGCATCATTATATATAGCCCTCAAAGTGAGTTCCTCGCATACCTTATCCATCAACTGCTTCATAAACCCTCCTTGGCCAACATATCCGCAATATCGAGATAAAACGCAACAGCATTAAACGTCCTCGTCTGCCCCATCCACACCTTGCGCAACGTCCACTTGAGCCGATTCGACCAATTGATCAAATCCAAATGGCTCACGTCCAGCAGCGTGCCCTGATACTTTCCCCACCGACTACTCGCAACACTCACCAACCCATCATTCGCGCCCTCAGCCTCCTCAATGACCCAATGACTTTGCCGAAACGGGCTCAGTAGTGGCGGCCGGTCTGTACACGCGCCATAACTAAAATACCGCACCTCATCGCTGTCAGGGGTAGCAGGGTTGAATTTTCCCTCCATGTACCGCTGCGTAAGCTGCTCAAAAGCCTGCGTCCCCAACCCGGCACGCTCAATAAGCCCGTACAGATTCGCGAGCTTAATGGGGCCTTGCCCATCCAACAGATAATCCGCAAACGCGCTCCCGCGGTGCGGCGTCGCTACGGTGACGAGACTAAGGACTTTGACATCGCGCGGCTTGAGATGGGAAATCATGTAGCGGGCGTCCAGCCCGCCCATGGAGTGCGCGACGATGTTGACGGCGCGGCCGCCGGCTTTGGCGGCGATGTCGGCGCCCAGTTTTGCGGCGCGCTCCTCGATGGAGCCCGAGGGCGGGACGGAGGTGGTGATGATGTTGGACGGACCGGAGAGGGTGCTCAACGAGTCGGAGATGCCGCGCCAGTAGTGGATCGGCGGGACATAAGCGCCGAGGCGCAGTTCGGAGAAGCCCATCAGTCCGTGGGCGAGGACGATGGGGTTCTTTGGCGTGTCTGGCGGGCGTGTAAGTGCGGGTGGATCATTATGGTTTGGACAAAGGCGGGGTTGGGAAGCAGGAGGACTCGAAACGGTACTAGGAGGACAATATCCTTGAAAGGGCAAACAAGAGAGAAAGGGGAGAGGATCGGATCGGATAAGAAGGAGGGGGGCAAAATGGTACCATAGTGTTCTCTAACGACGGCATACTCGTCCGATATCTGTTTGCCCAGGTCTCTGAACCTCGGGTCACCGTCGTGCTTCGGCCGCAAGTGCGAGACGGAGAAAGAACGGCTGTCTCGGGCTGCAAGAGGGCGAAGCAAGCGATGAGACGCGGTTGGCGCACAAATGAGCCGTGAGGAGGGCGCGCAAGGGCGGCACCTCGTGAGGCGTGCGCTGTTCATGGCATGGAAGGAAGAGCGTAAGCCGCCGCGGGCGCGGGGTGGTGGGGAGAAGAGAGAGTGAGGGAGAGAGGATCTGGCAATTCGAATGGTCTGAAGTCTCTGATTCTCTAGTCACTTGATGAGGATTGGATGTACCCTCCGTTCGCCTCAGTTGGTTGGTTGTCCCCCCTCTTTTCTGTACCGGTTTGTTTGCTTTGCTTGTTTTTCTCGAGGATGTGAATGGCCTGGCTTGGTTCCGGTCCCTCGACGTTTCTGTTTTCTTTACTGTGGTACAAGGTTCGTAATGGAGTGTGGAACGAAGATGCTTGCTCTGCAATCCCAAAGTCTGCATACGGAGAGTATGTGTGTGTGTGCTGCGGAAAGGAAGGAAGGAAGAAACGCGCATTTCTGAGCAATGAGAGGTGTTTGCCAAGCATGTTTAAGCGCCCGGCTCTTTGACGTCACGCAGGACCGCGGCCGCGAACAGTTTAGCGCGACAGCAGGGGGGGGGGGTTCTCTCGGCCGGAGGGCCCACCGTGTGCTGAAAGTATAGTGGAGCCTTCCTTGGGGGCCTGGCGTGCGGCTTGCGGCTTGCCCTGGGCTTCGGCCGCTAGTGATTAGTGGACGGATGTCTCCCGCACAATCCACCAAGCTTGGTCAGAGCTTCTTTCTTCCACTTCCTCCTCCTTCACCCTTGTCTCTGTCCTTACGCTCTGTGCGATCTGCGCCCTTGTCGACCGGGGTTGGGATAGTCCATAGGCAAAGTTCATGGATAACGTTGTTGGTGTTGGTCTTTTTGCTTAGCTTCGCTGGCCTGCAGCACTGCAGATTGCCAGATGCTGCCCTGAAGTTTGCCAATCCTGTTCCGCCTTCGGGTGCCGGTCCCGGTCCTTGTCCTTGATCAGAGTTCAGACTTTTCCGTCCCAGGTTCCCCGTCGCCCCAACTGCCAAAACCAACGCCCACCGGCCGTTGGTTCATCTCCTTGCTGTCGTCTTCCGCCGCCATCTTTCGAGGGTGTCTTGGTGTGAGGGCGGCCGCATCATGCAGCCTGCAGTTGCCTGCTGTGCGGTGCGGGCGTGCGCACACAGTTTGTTGCACTGCACCTGCCATGGCAGCCCATGGCAGGAGAAACAAATCTCGGGTACGTCGGCCATGATTCATCGGCTCCTGGCGATCGGCCAGTGCCCTCTCATTTTCTTCCATGTTCATGTTCACCCTCTCTTCCCTCACTGCATGGAGACCATCGATGCTACCGTTGGCTGGTCTCAGAACCAACACGCACGAGACAGGAAATCCGTAAGTCAGGCTTCGGTTTTGGAACCTGTCTGGCCTCTCGAGTGTGTTTGCCCTTTCGCGAATGATATCCCATCGTTGACTGTTTCCCCCGCTTCTGGGACCACGTCTTGATTACCTGCCCCCAGCCCCCACCGTGTCCCCAGGCCTAAAGTGCAATGCGGCGTAGCAGCTCAAAGTTCAAAGGACTGGCTGTGAACCAGTGTGTTCGACACCCTCCCGTAGCCATGCTGTAGGGCAGATGAGAGCAACGGCTGCTTTCACCATTGGACGACGGCCCCCTGCTCACCGGCCATCGAAGACCAACATGGCCTCACTGAATGACCGTCCAATGTAACCTCCTCATCTGCGCCGCCCGTGGGTAAACAGGCCGCAACCGCCAACCTTGCCTGCTTGATTGGTCCAGAGCTCATGCTGAAGAGGGCCCGGATCTGCAAACTTTCGACTGTTGCACCGTCGAACCGTTCCGCTGGGACGGCTTCGCCCTCTCACGCCCGCTATCCACACCCACACCTGGTGTTTGTTTGCTTGCCGGCCTCGCTGGCTCGTTGGGAGGCGTCAGCGCCTTCTTCTTCCTTCGCGGCAGTTGGGCATCTTAGAAAACGCCAGTCAGCACTGCTTGTTGTTGTTCATCAGTCAAGTTGCGATTCGTCTTATAGGTACCGCCGTTGCTGCGTTGTCAGTCACCGATGAGAAGTGCTCACAAAGTTGCCCGGTTGAAGGTCGACTGAAGAAAGTTCTTGTTGGTACAACGTCTCTTCCGTAGTGGATGTATCCATAACGGATGAAACCGCGGAAGCTGATGGTGTGCCCGTTTGAATCGACCCCGGCCTGGCCTTGCGTGTACCTTACCTCCATCTCCGTCGGGCCGCTCGTCTTCATTGTCCACGGCCTCTGCTGTCCGCAATCATCCATATCCCAACCGTTGCGATTATGCAGACCGGTTTGCTGGAATGCTTGATCCATTACACACCTGGCTTCTGCCGCGTGTATATATCCCCAATGCCCGGCGCGCTTCTTCCTTTCCCGCTCCTTCTCTCGGCATGTCCAGCCATCCGATGGTCAAGCGACGCAACGTTCACTGTCGCCTGTCAAGTGGAACGTGAGCACAATGACAGGCGACTGCGGAGACTCGTGCCCCTACCCGGGGCGCTTTACCTCCTACTCGCCTTCGGCAATTGGGAGTGCCATCTTTCTGGTAGCCTTTGCGCTGCTCGTGCCTCTGGCCTTGTATCAAGGCTTTCGTTTCAAGACGCCTTTATTCGCATCGACTCTGGCGACCGGTCTTCTTCTCGAGGTCTTGGGCTTCGCGGGAAGATTGAGGCTCCGAAATGATACCGCCAGCGGGACTTCATTCTCCCTTTGGCTCATTGGCGCCATCTTGGGCCCTACTCTCATCGCAGCGGCCATATGTCAGATCCTTCCCCATGTCATCGCCCTCTACGGTCTCGGCATTGGCTTTACCCGGCCAAGAGTGGCTGTCTTGTTCCTCATCTTCGCTCTTGCTCTCGTCATTGCATTGGAAATTGCCGGGGTTGTCTCAGCTGTCTTTGGGCTCGGAGGTGTACAGGTAAGGATTTCATCGTTCTGCTGCCTAGCAGTCCCCATCTCTAACAAAAGCCCCAATAGACACCGTCGATTCTTCTGGCCGGCTTAGGCGTACAGATTTTGGCGTTGCTGCTCTTCGTCGGATTGTTCCTCTGGTTCACCCAGAAGCTTCCTGACCCGAAACATATTGCCGTGTACCAAGCACCGCGTTTTAAGAACTTTGTCAAGAGTAAGTAGACCCATTGCCGCAGGACCAACATAGTCTGACGATCTTTTCTCAGTGATACCAGCAGTCGCTGTCGTCTTGGTGGGGCACACCATCTACCGCCTCGTTGAGTTCTGGGACGGACTCGATAGCCCTCTTCAGCGGTCGGAAGCCGCTTCGCTGGTCATCGGAGGTGCTCTGCCATTCCTCGTCGCCTCAGTCTTATGCGTATACCATCCTGGTGCATCTTTCGGTCGGGCGTGGGGCCTGACATCGCCGCGATATCGATCTTTATCACTGAGGTCGCGCCGCGGTGCTCCGTCGCCTCTGCAGTCGCCAACTGCACCTTGGGACGACCACAAAGGACCCCGTCAGCCGGGATTTACTGCCACCCGGTTCCCAGACAAGAAGATGTCGCCCGTCGGAGTTGGCCCAGTTCCCTTGAGAGAGTCAACAATGGCAAGCAAGGTTGCCGGTAGTCCCGGCAATAGGTCGGTCACCTACCCAAGCCCCATTGCTTCGACACACAAGTTGAGTCCCATTGGCTCACAACACAAAATGAGTCCAACCTTCCAGGGCACTCAACAGCCGACAAATCCCAATCGCTACAGTAACACCAAGCCCAACGCAAAGCCGATGGTAAATAGTGAAGAACTGTGGTAGCGAGAAGTTGGCAAAGAGTGGCTCTCAATTCGTGCAATGGTATATCCTCTTTCATGCGGTAGCGTGGCGTTTGATATTTTCGGTGGCTGAGAATGCTGCGGCCTTTTGTCTTTTTTGTCACCAGGATACCATTCCCCTGTATATACCTTGGGTGGCTAGAGTTGACCTCGATGTTTATATTTACCCATAGCTTCTGCATTTCGAAATGTAAATTGCTTGAGGTTACAAAGTCAAAGCACCCGTAGCTTTCGTCCAGAAGAAGTATGCTAAGCCAAAAGCTGCGCCTCCGAGGTGTCCGGCATGTCCCACTCCTGTGTCCCGCTCGGTACTCAGACAGTAGGCATCCACGGCAAACATTCCCAAGACAACAAGGCGCAAGGGTAGAACTTGATGTGTCCCGGAAAGGCGGACCTTCATCGTAGGAAACATTAACGCCAGAGCTGTGCCGAGACCAGTCAAGGCTCCGCTTGCTCCAACAGCCGTCCTCTCGGCATTGTTCTTTGCTCCCCGTCTTCTCCTGGCATTGAAAATGTGGCAAAGGCAAGCGGTGATTGCACTCCCGAGGGACAGTACAATGAATCGTAGCGGCGATACACTGAGTAAATAAAATGACTCGACATAAGTTTTATATGTTGACATGTTGACGAAAAGGTGTAAAGGCTGGATGTGACTAAAGGCCGAGGTAAAGAAGGTGAGTAGTCGGGGGTCACTTGAGCTGAGCATAAAGTATTTGTGAAGAAACGCGGAAAGACGCCTGCGGTCTATCGGGAGCGAAGAGAAGATTGGATGGAGCGCGGTCAGCCAGGCCAGATGGATGGCAATATTGCTCACGGGAACTCCGTAGAAGAGGGCAGTCCAGAGCGGTCCAATATTGCCGGGTGCAAATCTTGCGGGATATCCAAATGCTGAGAGTGACGCCATATTGATACTGTCTCCTGTGATGACTAGTGGGTACTGGAAATGAGAGGCGACGCTTAGACGCGGAAACTGTGAAGTGGTGCCGTTGGGTATGAACAAGAGGAGACACGATGTCTTGAACTAGCTCTCAGGGGTTTTGGTTTTGTACGAGCTGGACTGGTCTTGATATTTCGAACATGGACTTCAATCTCGAGTTTCGTATGAAGGTGACTAGGGGGAAAGCATGTATAGATTGCACAGGATCTAGATGGCGTGACGTTGTCGCTTTCTGTCGAGGTAGATTCTGAAGTTCGCAGTGCTCCGTTCGAGAAAGGAGCCGAAGTCGTCGTTGGATGAAATGTGTGTGAAGAAGAAGGGTTGGTCCGTGCCTAAGGTACGTAGTGTATGACAGTGCTGATCTTGTGCTCGGCACTGTCCCTCCATCCTCAAGAATTCAATTGTTCACTGTTCTTACCAACAACTTCTCGGATTTCATGCACGCTTTCACTTCAGATAACTCAGATGCTTTGGATACGCCACTAGAATCTACCTATATATATGCTGCTCATATGCTCTCACCCACTTTTCCTGGTGTCGAGATCTCTGGTTGCTTGCCAACTTGACCAGCGCCTTCCCCCTTCTCGAGATCCACCATCTCAACATCGCCAGACTGGCCACCTACAGCCTCGACTTGCCCAGCGCCGCTTTCCAACGGCTGGCTTCCGGCGCTCTCATTGCGCACGTTACCAGAACTCCGTGACCACCTGTACAAAACGCTTTTTCTATTGGAAGTTGCCGTGGACGTCATCGTGTTCCTCTTGCTTGCGGCACCTGTGCTGTCCAACTGGCTGCGCATTCCGAGCATCAAAGTTACATGTCGGAGTAGAGGTTGCAGGGCGGGGAAACAGCCGACCCAGAGACCAACATGGAGCTCGGCGTCGGTCCATGCAGCTACAGTGAGCATCTTGTACGTCCTAGACTGTGTCAGTATGCTGAAGTCGCTAGTCTAAGCCGCGCCTTATTCGCCATAAGGAGTGCTTACGTGTTTACACCGAAGTCCGTCGTGACGATAATGGAAAATCGAACGATGCCAGTAACGACAGCAAAGATTCCCAGAGAAAAAACCAGCAAGATTTGTATGGCCTTGACGCCCATTTTGACGTAGTTCGTCACAACACATAGCGGAAGGACGACCAGCATACAATCAACAAAGATGCAGATAATGGCATGGCCCAGCATCATCGATCGCTCTTCGCGTTTGTCTCTGCATTGTCGCCATGTGCTAGAATAATTGAAGACATCACTGGGGTAATGAGTCAGCCAGCCATCGCTAGGCCTCAGGGAAGTGTCCCTCTTACGGTATCTGCGAGCATTCTGTCAAGACGAAAAAGAATCCCGACAAACTGACTATGATCACCATAGCATTGAGAGCGTATATGCTCCAGATATATATTTCTGGCAACGAACATCAGCAACTAAGTATGTTGGGGACTGGGATAATCATACTGTTCTTGCTCAAGCGTGGAAGAAACGCTAATATAGACAGGCGTACGGCACCAGAAGCGAGAAAGTAGACCAACTCCATGATAGAAAGCCTCTATTCGCAGCACGTTAGTTCCGCGGAGGACTTTCAGTATGAGACATAGCTGACCTTGAAGAATTGAAGCAGCGTCGGCCGGGGAACATCTTCGATCTGGGCCCCGGTGCCGTAGTTGGTTGTGTCCATTTCAAGGGCCGAGAGTGTGACACACAAGGCCTGGTTCCCGTGTTAGTCCATGCAACTTACACCAGGAAGCGGCTTGACCTACCCAAGCTACTATTGCAAGGAAATCATCCCAGCCTAGAGCTTTTACTATGATCTTCCGTGTGAGCAGACGGAGACAGACCAGCAATGTCGAAACAATAATCAGAGCTAGGTTCAGGTCGAATACATGGTGTCCACCCGAGTTAGGGTGGTACCGCAAGGATTGTCCGACATCAACCATTTCAACTCGTCAAGACAATGTCGTTGGATTTGAGTGCTTCGAAAGCTTCGAGATTCTTGCCATTCATGGAAGAGACCAAAGTCATGTGCCGATTATCCGAGGCGGCCGATGGTTATAATGGAGTCATGGACCACATTCGCCAGCGTTGAGCCTATGCCAGAAGTGTGGGCTACGGAAACATCTACGTACGAGAAGGCACTTGACGCCCAAGACACGCGCCAAGCCCCGTTTCGAACAATTTGTGCCATTTTCTGACGCCTTGAGTGCTTGTGCAATCAGACACTGGAGTCTACCGAGTTTGAGAGGCCTCTGGAGGCGAAAACCAGGCCAGGCTGAGGTAGATGCGTCGATGGGCTAGAACAGCCGCCGGAATTGCTCATCGCCGCTACACCTAGAGTTTACGCCTCAAATACCGGTCTCAGAAGCTACCTTACCGGCCGGAAAGGCGCGGGGTGGCCAGAATAGTTCACGACATGCTGAACGATCTGTAAAAAGCGACTTGAACCAGAGCCGAAAGCTCGTAGATACGATGGTGATTGGCGCCTTGTGCCTGGGGGTTTTCTTTTTTCTTCGATGATGGAATCTTGAGCAAGAACTGTCATTCTACCATCGGAGGAGGTTTCAGCTCTGTCGTTGTCGTCACGCAGATCACATCGCATAGGATTGAGAGGTACCGCCCATCTTCATGTTCCGTTCCCAGATGCTTTCTCCCTTTCTCCCTTTCTCCCTTTCTTCTTTCCTTCGATTTCCTCCGATTTTCTTTCTCATTAAGAAGACGAGTTCCAGAACACCTGTGTAACGGTTGTGTTTCTTCGGCGATGACTGTGTATGATGCTTCTCGAAAGCTTGGCCTGGACCCCGAGCTTGACTTGACGTGACGAAAGCGTCCAGATCCAAACCTAAATAGTAGCCTTTAAGATTTAAAGCATTACCCCTCGGCTATAACCGAGCAGTTCTCATCGAGGAAATAGTCTTTAGTTTCGCAGCGCGTTGAATGTTCACTGCCCACACATCGATCGGGCTGTGCTTACTCATGCCCAAAACGACACATGCATTCCTCGCCATTGCCGCGTCCAGGCCTCCCTTCAAAGACATTTACGATTGATTCAATTTAGCATGCCACTGAACAAGACCGGCGCCCTCTCATCAACAAACTTGGCAAGAAACAGCAGTTCTTATTAATTCTTTCATCAATGGAACCTCGGAGCACATAAGTAAGCAGGGAGCCTGTCTACGATCCAGACGAGTTCGGCACTCAGATGCGAGGCAACTTGATCAATACTTCCACCATTGTTCTTGCAATTCGATCCTCTTCTCGGTTGGTCTTGGCATACAACGCCTTTGACGAACGCGGCAATCGCTGATCCATACCAACACAAACGAGCGGCAGCAGTCTTGGCCCAATTCCACACCCTGCGTCACTTGTTCCGCCGGCTCGCGGAGAGAGGGGGCCAAGGGACTTTGAGAATCTCAAATCGAACGATTTGCTTCGTCACCTAGGTTCGACGAGTCGATCTGAGTATCTGGGTACTTGCCCCGAATTTTGGAGGTGAGAGCTGGGAGATATTCTTTCTTTATTCACTTTCAGCTTACCCCGAGCCAAAGGTCCTACGTCAATCTCATCCCTTGCAACACCCTCAGCTCTGTCAACCAAGCTCCCAACACTGCACGTCAATATTTTTCCCCCCTTCTTCGGAATAAAGCCAAACGAATGCTTCAATTCAAAGCTCGGAGTTTGGGGATTCCAAAGTAAGCTCCGACCACATTAAAGTCCAAAAAGAAGAACAAGCAAAGGGAGAAGAGCACCCATCGGCACAGTTCGTGGTACGCCAAACTAGCAAATCGCCGTTTTCGTCAGGACACCAAGCAAAGAATCTCATCAGCCTACGTACAAGCCGAACAAAACCAGAGAGCAAACTTCCCTTCCTAATGAGTACCTCGTCTCAATCCGACAGCATCGCCCCTGCCGCCGACTCCGCCGCCCAAACCGTCAACTCCCTTCTCCTACGCACTTATGCTCTGCTGCAAACGCCTCTGTCCATCCTGAAGCTTCACCAGGCTCTCAACGCTGCAGACCAGGCCCTTGCCATTGCGGCGCACTTGCACCGCTTCGACCTCGAGCCTCGCGCATACCTGTACCGCGGTCATGTACTGAGTGCCTGGGGCCGTTGGCGCGAGGCTCACGCCGCATACGTCCGGGCCGCCAGTGTGAGGGGGGTCGGGTTCGCGGGGACGAACATCCGGGGCTTGACGAGGGATTGTCTGACGATGATTGAGTTTGAGGATGTGAGGCGTCGGAACATGAGGCGCGCTCTGGAGATTCAAGGCCAAGCAACAAAGGATGGGTTGAAGATGGTTCGATTTAGGGACGAGGAGAGTCTGGTTCTCAAGGCCTTTTATGATTATGATGATGACGATGATACTAATGACGACATTGACGACGATGATGAGACGCAATCCGAAGCGAGTCACAGCGGGCTCTATCTTATTTTGAACGGCAGCGGGGAAGTTGTCGGTAGCCGGGAGAGTCTGCCTGACTTGAGGAGTGTACGTGGTAGATCTGTCACCAGATCGCCGACACTGTGAGTTTAAGGGGCGGGAATATGATGGTAATTACGAGTACAATAGCCACATTTTCAAAACGGAAGCGTTTTGCATGAGCGCCGCTAATTGAGAAACTCATATGATCCGTCAGAAAGCTCTAACAATAAGTTGTTTGCCTCATCTTTCCCTTTTTGGCTGCTTTGTGAAGTCAAACCATTGAGTCCTTTGATGGCATTATCAATGTTGCGACCTGTTTCATTTCAAAGCAAGCATAGACACCAAAGTCTTTGTGTTCTGCGATTCCCTTGCACCATCCTCATATCATCTTACATCAAGCATCCAAATGATGCCACGATGAGGTATCCAGAAGACACGAGAAGATCCAACGCCATCCAAAGTTGGGCCAAAGATTGATAACTTTAGGAGATCCCTTAAAGCTAAAAGGTTTGAGAATATTTGATGCTCATTCTTCGTTCGACCTAGATTCTGCTCGGGCCCTCGAGTGTGACTTCACCAAACTGTGTACTTATTGACCGATGGAGATTTCAAGCGTCATGTCGAAGAAAGGGAAGCCAGCGTCGCCGACGCCCAGTGATTCACAGAACAGTGGAAACGATGGAACGACAACCTTCTCCTTGATAATTGCCACACCAGCTGAAGAAACCTCTGCTGACGCTGTACGAAGAAGATCGCAAATGGCAGCACAGGCGTCAACCGCCTCCGATGAAGCCTCGCCAGAGTTGGAATCGAAGCACATAACGATCTCATCGTCAGATCAGAGCCAAATTTCATCTTCTCAACAGATACCGAAGTCATCGGACGAGCAGGAAGTCAAGCCCGGAGGAACGGAGTCTTCTAGCGAGACAGATACCAAACCTAGACTTGGCTCAGGTGCCATCAGTTGCCTACTATCCGCACTCGATGACGAGATCACACCACCTTCCTGGCAAAAGCCCCCTGAAATCTCAGACAACGGGAGTGGCCAGACGTGCAATATATCACTGGCTCCAATTGTTCCCAATCCAGATATTATCAGCCCCCTCGACCTCACGTCGTCCTCCCCTCGTGCACAATTCCAACCATCGACGTCAACATCAATAGCCTCACGACCACCCAAGAAGAAGTCCGAATCGGTGGACGAAGGCTCTAAAGACGATGGGTCTGGCCCCAGTCGTAAAGTTAGCGAGGAAACAGAAGCTACCGCTGCCGATTCTGATCGCTTTCACCAGAATCCCGGTCCTGAGACTGCACTCGGAGCAGTCTCTAATCGTCCCTTATACTCTTTGTCGATCGAAGAAGCATTAGACTCGCAGTCGATGAGTGCCGTGCTCGGAAGAGCAAACAAACCCTCCCCTCAACGTCCTCTTTCGACAGAGACTGGCCCGAGGAACAACGTCATTGGAAATGGCAAGGACGACGGTATAGGCGATGATGACCCTCATATCCTACCATCGGCAGTCTTGCAGGAAGCGGAACCCCTAGCGTCGGGGTCAGCCAACTCAGAAACCCCTTCACCTGCACCTGTGAGACCTTTGACACCGAGAGGGCTAGTGGCAGCGCGTGAGAGGGCAATGAGAGAAAGAGAGTGCAACGGCACTCAACAGGTGACGGACGAGAGACCGCCGTATCCCGAAGATCCAGCTCCGAGACGTTGCCGACCGGAGTCTTCCCAAACAGTCACGTCTCCTGGGGAGAGCCATGCTCGAAACCGAGGCGTGTCACCTGTATCACCGATCATACATACTCCTACACCAACTAGACCGGGAGACATACCAGGCTTTATGAGATCCAACGAGCCGGTCTCGCCCTCCACTCTCATCCAGAACCAACGACGGCATGGCTCCCGGTCCTCGTCAACAGACACCATAGTCCAGCCGCCACCCCCGGTCCATAACCATCAACGCCGCCGTCTGCTCTCCGCCGGTCTAGGCGCATACAACAACGAGCCAGGCCGCTCCGGCGCGGGCTTCACCCTCCGCCGCATCAAGGTCCCGCCTCCGGGCGCTCCAGCCCGCACACACATCTTCATCCGCCCGCAGCCCCTCCCCGGCGGCGAAGAGGAGCGCAGGATGATCATTCAAGTCTGGAATGACACGTTCGCGACGATGCTCCCCGAGTTCCAGACGATGCTCTCGAGCCGCCTCCGGTACCCGCGCTACACCCGCGACGTGGCGGCCCGGCTCCGCAAGGAAGAGTTCGAAAAGGCGACAGGGGAGAGCATGTCCTCGGACGACTACTACGCCCTCTTCGACCTCGAGACATCCAACGACGGCATGATTTCCGCGCTGCTGGAGTGGATGCAGGGGCGGACGTGGGTCAAGGTCCCATTTGTAAACCGCATCATTCACCAGCTCTGCCGGCTGATGTATACCTCTGCACAGGAGGAGGCGCGGCTGCGGCTGACATATCGGCAGGACATGGATGCCGTCATGGAGAAGCTCGACGAGGTGGAGGTGAAGTGTGCGGCGGAGAGGATGGAGAGGGCCTGGAGGCAGCTGGATGGGTCTGTAACGAGGCAGCATAAGTTTATCCAGCAGACTCTCACGCGTAATGGCGATCACTGGGGCCACATACCGGGCGTGGTGGTGATGAGTGGGTGCTCCAGGGACGCAAGACGTTGGGAGACGTTCCTTGAGACGGCGCGCGTGCTGGCCCTCGATCACCGCAACACCGAGGAGATCATTGAGAACAGAATCAGCGATAGTGGAGAGATTCTACAACAGGACCTCGAACAGCTGAACGGCGTCCTTAGAGACATGGCGAAGAACAGCAGGGAAGTGAACGAGTATGTCGGGGCCAGACATCAAGGGGACCAGGTGCAGCGGATGTTCCAGATCGACAACAAGGATCTGGTCGATTCTCTCAGGATCCTCGATGACCAGGTCAAGCGTGATAATGACGAGCGTAGGTCTGCCGTCATGGCCTTTACCAAGATCGCGACAGAGCGGTTGGAGGTGCGCCAGAGATATGCTAGCAGCCTGGACTACGCTGCGCAACACGCTCGCGAATCGACTACGCTCGCACCGGGTTTCCAGCCGCAGCCTCCGACTGGGACCTTCGGCAACCATTCGCTGTGTTCGGCTCCCAACGAAATGAGACTCAGCGTTCCCGTGGCGAGCATCCCATCAGAGGCGCCAGCATTCGACACCACCTCTCAGCAAGAAACCCCGCCTCCCCGTGATGGGGTCAGATTCGTCTTGAGTCCTAGAGGCAGCCAGGTTGTAGAGTTCATGGACACGACGGTAGCTCCTGAGCCAAGCCCCGTCTTCACAGATCCCTTTACCAAAACCTGGGAAAATCTCGATCTGGCCGCGGCGAGGCCAGAGTGCCTGCGGTGTCCCACGCTGGAGCGGGAGATCAGTGCCAGACTTGCGGAAATTAAGGACTATTGCCGCATACTGAAGTACAGACTGGATGAGAAACTGAAGCTCGAGAGCGCACTCGAAGCCGTGAGTGAGCGCAAGATCAGAGAAGCGATGGAAGCCCTTCACAACTACAAGAAGCTTCTGGGTCGTCCAGAGGTGCCCGAGTCTCTGCAGTGCATCGTGGACCTGTTAGAGATGCATGGCAAGCGAGTATCCGACCAGGTTGGCTTGCTAAATATGTCCCTTCAGCTGGGGCAAGCTGGCGATTCGACGGACAAGATGCTAGCAGAAACGAGGACAACGATTAGGTCTGTTAAACGACTAGCTGACGCCATCCTCGAGCTCAAATCCCAGATGGCACTATACCTCGAGAAACCCTTTCCCAAGACAGGCGATCAATCTGACTCAGGCGAGCAAGACGTACCGGAGAATGAAAAACAAGCCCGCTTAATAAAGTCGCTGCAAAGACAAGTCCAAGAGTTGTCGGAACGGACCAAGCGTACTCTAGAACAGCAGGCGACAGAGAAGCTCGAGCTAGCGCGCAGGGTAGAGTCATGCATGAAAGAGGAGAGAGATCGCCTCAGAGAACAAGTTCGCACTTTCCAGAGCAAGCTTGAAGATATGCAGGCCGAAGCCCAAGAGCGAGATTCGAATACGGAGCAGATTGTATCGGATAGACTCAGAGAACTCCACAGAGAACGGGAGACGCAAGAGACGGAACTTCGCAATCTCGAAGCCCAGAACAACGCTTTGGAGGAGCAACGTCAAAAGACCACAGATAAGCTCGCGGCTTTAGAGACGGCCAAGGAAGAGAGCGAAAACGAACTGGCAGAACTTGCACGACAGACCCAAGAGCTTCAAATTAAGCTTCAAGCTAAGAGCGAAGCGATGAAGTGGACATCGTACATGACTATTCCCAGGGCTGTGGATGACGCCGGCTCTGATGCTCAACAAAGTGACAGAGCTTCTTACCTGCGGGCAGAGCTGATGGCTGCGCTTAGCAAGGCACGGTCAGAATCATATCGCATATTTGGAGACCAACAAACGAGGAAGACTCTGCCAGATATCATACAGAGTGTCCTGTGGCCTGACACCAAAGCAAAGGAGGGCATCAACGCTGATGTGCCCAACTTCTGGAGGCTAGCGGATTTTGTGAGAAGGAGAAAGGAAATCATAGCAGCACTCGAACAGAGGGATTTGCACAACTTGCAGAGAGCATTCAACTTGCTTGAAGTGCTCCACGAGTGGAATAGCAACTTGGGTGCTTGGCAGACAGAAGCCCAAACAGCAGAGGTTTGGCGGTCCATCAATCTCCTCAGATCGTACGCCAATCTTGAGCTTGGAAAGATCGAAGGGCTCGAAGCTAATGCCTCAGAGAGGCGCAAGGTCGCCGGGGCATTGTTCGAGCAAGCGACGGCTTCTAAAGATGCAGGAGAGATCAAGAAGCCATGGAGTTCCTTGCAGAACAGTCTGGAGGTACAGCTAAACGGAAAAGCTGACGACGCTTCCGCTTGCGACTGCAAGTTTAAACCTCGCCTCTGTCCAAAGCACCAGACTGATGGTGGACTCATGTTCCATAACTTTATGGAGTCAGATGGTTCGAGGCCGGCGGAGATAGAGTTGACGCAGGAGGCGTCCGAGGTGCTTCAGCGATTTGGAGAGACGTTCAAGGTATCGTCCCCAGTGTAGGCTCGCGCGACAGCGGATGTGTCCGGTAAAGAGATTGCGTACGCTTCGACTAGAGAGAATTCTGCAAGAGGATGATGATCTGCAAAGCGGTTTTGATGTCGGGTTGGCCCCAGAAAGGAGCAAATGAGAATGCATACCGGATGCTTGTTTGTTTTTCCCCATCGATTTGCAATCTACAAAGGCCTGGCTGCTATCGCCGCGTGGTGTTAGTCACTTGTAACGATGTTGAGATCCTGTTCCTAGAGTTAGAGTCGATAGGTGAAGTGGCGTTTGTCTCTGTCTCTGTCTCTGCATCCGCGCGGCCAGCTGATTCATGTGTTCCCCCGTTGACCAGGGCAGCGAAGTATGTTGATGAAGGCGGCCTTGAGTGAACGTTGGAATCTGCCAATGACAAATGCGGAAGTGTGTGTCGTCTAGGTTGACGTCGGTAGTGGTGGGCAGGCGAGTGAAGTCAAATTGATGTCGAGAAAGCGGATGGTGGGGCCGGGAGGAGGAAGACTGGGGGTTGAGATTGCCAGTAGTTACTGAGATACTACCATCGAAGCCTTGGCATCGCATTGAGGGATGTACCTTGCTATCTACTTCTCCTAAGTCCTTTCCTCGTCTAGCGTAGTTACCCGCGCGGGTGGATTGTTCACCACACCATTGCATTCCTCTCCTGCTTCTCTTCTCCGGGCTCCCTCTTCGTGGCACTGATACCAGCGCAACTACGCCCTGCTGTCAATAGGTCCAACATGACTCTTCCTCCCGACTCAGCCTTTTGCGCCTCTCCCGCTTGTATATTCAAGTCATAGGTCAACTCAATCCGATCCACCCTCAGCAATCAGTACCAGGCCAGACAGATCTGGATCTTGTCTCGGGAACGGCATGTACACGAGCCTCAACCTGCGTCGCCAGTGCGCACGTCAACTGTCTCAGCCCAAACGTGGACCTGGAATGGTCAAGGGGTGTGGCTTTCTCATCACTGAAAGATGATGTGAGTGGCACGCAAAGACAGGCACGATCTAGGCACATCATGCTTAGCTGCATCTGTTGTGACGGAGGCACCTTTCGGTTCTGGCACCCAACGAAAACGACTGCATTTTGGCGTGCCTCAGAACCTGCCGCTTCCCATCGTCTCCGCACTTTCACCTCAAATCACGCCCGAGAACACGTGGATGAGCAACTCTGTACTCCAGAGAACGAGTGAGTTGTTCCGCAAAGTGACAGCTCGAGAAGCAACGGAAGCACCAGATCCATGACGCCCAACAAAGTCAACGGTAATCTGCCAGCCCGCTAGACGGAATTGCATCGTTCCGGATCCGGCGTATCGCTTGCCCTCCGGTATGGTACGCGTGGATTTGCAAGGCAGCGGCCGCTTTCACCAAGACATTTGTCTTTTGAAGATGAATCAGACCTCTACCAAGGCTACCAGACTATCGGAGCCAGACGCACGAGCGAGAGAAACGGGCAAGTCGTTACGCGACAAAGTCTGGTACACGCGATGCTACGCAAATGAGCACGATACAACGGCATCCTGGCCTCGGAGCAGCTATTTGCCCGCCCACTCTGGCTAGACGGCTTGGGGAGTGTCACCGACCGAAAGCCTACCTCATGCCATTCGCCGCCGCCTTCTACAACAGATTGATTAGATTGCTCGACCTAGCTCCATCTCATTGGACACCCTCGCCGGCTGACTTTAACGTACATCAACGCTGTCGCTTCGAGTTGTATGTATGAAGGCAGTCTTTGCCCTACTGACGCAGCGCGCGCGCGGCTGCTTCCGGCGATGGCGGCAACGAGCACCAGCCAGCTGTGCAATGTGACGAGTCTAAGCTGGCTGGAAGCACACTTTGGCCAGCCGCGTCGCGTCACATATCACTGAGAGTTCTTGACGGACTGTCAAACTACGGATTGAAGTGGACGACGACGAGTGTAGTCCAGCACTGGCCAGGCCAGGTCCACGCCACTCACTTCATGTCCCGTCCTCCCGCGCTCTCCCGTCAGGCCCTGGCACCTCTAGTTCATCCCGTCCCCGGAGGCGGCGTGTAAGTCGAGGAAACCCCCACTGGAACGGTGCCGTTTCCAAGCGAAAACACGGGGCCTGTCAAGCAAGCCCTTGACGACTTACCCTCTCGGGGATTAGACGCGGGTGGACTATGGCGAAGATCACGACTAACGGATCACGGCCTAATGCAGCAAGGTCAAGGGGGACCAGGGTCACCCTTTTAGCAGGTGACTTTGAGGAGGTCGACAAGATTTGCTGCTGACAAGACATTCCAAGGATCTCTCTCACAAGGGATTTTTGGGCTCCAACTTGTACCCGAAAAACACGGCCCGTACGAGGGCCTTTGCAATCATGTTTCTATCCCATCTAGGCAAGTCAATCTATCTGCAAGATGCAGATAGGCACGCTGATACCAGAGCTCCACACTGGATGCTACTATCTGGATGCATTTTGGAGCCGGACGCCTGGCTTTCACTCAGCCCTCAGCCCTCGGCCATGACAGTGTCTGGCTTGTGAGGCGGATTCTGTCTCTCCTTGGCGTTGTCTCGTTTCTTTTTGCGGTTTGGCTCGATTCACCCAAATTGTGTCAACGACCCCCGTGCTTCCGTCTTTGGCTGTGTGCTGTGCAGCGAGGCCCCGTCCGAGTCCTGGCGGCGGTTCACGGCATGCTGCAGACAACGGTGGGGTCGAGGGGCTGTTCATCATAGGCGTGACGGACCACTCTACTTTAACCTCAACGAACTTTGCTTGCCTACCCTTTCCTTGCCATAGTATGTACCCTACACAAAAGTACCTCGTCTATGGACCATGGTCTTTTCCATCGCAACGCAAAAGAAACGTAGAGTGCTTTGTCAAGCTGACCAAACCAAAACAGCTAGTCCAGGCTCTATGGAGCTAGACCATACGGCCCTCTCTGTTTCTCAAATTCTCAAATCCTCGTAGGGGAATCCATCTTAATCTAGATCCACGATCCGTGAGACCTTCCCTGGCAAACAATTTCCCCCGTCTTTTCTTCTCGCCTCCCTTCCCGCTTACCGCTGTCCAAGCTCCCCTCCCGCCCTGCTGCTGCGCCTGCTCCAGCTGCGGAGAACAAGATGGCGTGAAAGTTACACCGGCTACCGGCATCGAAAAGGACCCTCGTCGAAGATGGGGCTGGCTATCTCGCCATTGGGCATTGGCATGGAGCGGCGATATGTGTACACGTACGGTGTCTGAGCTCTTTTACTCAGCGGCCGTACGACGCAGCTGTCCAGGAACGGCTCGAGGCTCTCCACATGAACCAAGGCTTGTTATTCTTTTGCTTGGCATCTTCGAGTCTCGGGGCTGGACGAGAGAGATGTAGCTACCCTACCGTGTGAGAGGGGGAAGTCCCTGTTTTTTTTTTGTCGACTTCAACGGATCGACTTATCTGGGGAACGTGGCGCTTGTCTCACATGGATGTTTATGGAGCTGGGCAGTCGGTCCCTGGTATGCACAGGTCTTTGGGACCACCGTTGTGTAAGTGCGTTGTAAGCAAAGCAACATGAGAGGGCCAACAAATTGAGAGAGGGTACCATGTGAAGCGGGTGGCCGGCCGCGAAGGGAAGGTCTAGACTGAATACACAATCCGAGGGCTATCATTGCAACATGTTCATCGGGGCAACCTTGGGCTGATTGCCCTCGAGTCTGACGGTGATACCCTCCCTCTTCTTTCTTATCTGAACGTTTGCCCTGCTATCTGAAGTCCAGCTGCGATCAGGAAAAGAGGGGATGATCAGGAAAAGAAAAAAAAAAATAAGGGTGAGTGGGAGAAAAAGCCACGCGGGTCAAGCCACGGGAACTACGTCGGTAGACCGCATTCATCCAAGGACAGCGTGTAAGTGGGGGCATGCGGACGACTTGTGTAAGTTCACCTATGATTTACATAGAGTGGCAGGACTCGACGCCTTTTTTCAGAGTTTTACAACGCCTCTCTTCATCATCAGATACATCTCAAAAGTACTGGATGAAGGAAGAGATAGGAATCGGTAGGGAGGTATAGAAAAAAAGCAAGGAAGGTACGCTCTAGGGAAAGAATCAGGTAGTAGCAACTCCTTCCCAGACAGATCCGCTCTGCCAAACCTTACAGTCTCGTAATATTCAGGATTGGATATTATTTTTCTTTCTTTATACCTTACCTTACAATAAGATCAATTCTAAGCCACAAGGGTGGGATGAATCTAAAATCTCAAGGAAGGCGCGACCTGGACTGTGTACCTGACCTCCTTCCCTACCTGCCCAATCTACCCGGGCCAACCTCCACCACCACCACTTCCACCTGGCCCCCCCTCCTTCACACATGTTCACCTCACCTCAATATTATCTCCGGTACACAACGCTTCACTTTATTCTTCCTCGCCCTCTCCCGCTCCCGCTTGCCGCAAACGGGGGTCTTCCAGGTTTTTTCTACTTCACACACACCTCCCACTGCCGCGTCCCGAGTAAGTATCCTCCCTCTTCATCACAATACTCTGAGACCCTCCGCGCCATTCTTATCAACGAGTCTTCTTTCACACCCTCGTCAACACATCATAACAATACCTTCTTGTTATAAACTTGGCACATTCCCGCTTCTCATCCGTCCTTTCGGTTCACTTCAACTCACGACGACAACCTTGCTCACCGCACTAATCCTCCATCCCTTCTCCAGACTGCGAATAGCCTCAAATTTCTCACTCATCCGCACGACTACGCGCAAAAATGGCTGGAGGAGCTAGCGGCCCCTCAGCTTATCCTTTGCTCTTCGCAAAGCGGACCAAGCTGAACCAGGAGGCGATGATTTACTTCGCCATCGCCCTGGCTTCTATTATGGGCCTCTTCATCGTCTTCCATCTTGGTCGTCGTGGTGCTTCAAAGGCCGGTCTTAATACGAAGCTGTCTGGTCTGGCAAAGCCTTTCCTCTTTGTGTCTCGGTAAGATTCGAGAAAAAATCAGCTTCTGCTTTATCGCATGAAATTACTGACCACCACATAGATCCATCCGAAGAGTCACCGTCTACAAGTTCCCTGCCCTGCCATCCACCGGCCACTTCGTTGTAGCTCTTAGCTACCTCATAATCAACATCGCCCTGCTATTCACTCACATCGACGCATCCGCTCTTCCCTATCTCACGGTCATTGCGGCTCGCGCAGGATGGTAGGTTTTACGAAGCCTCGAATACCATTAACATCTTTGGAAACACCAGAAACTGATCCTTCACAGGCTGTCCATCGCCAACATCGCTTTCGTGGTCTTCCTCAGCCTGAAGAATACTCCTCTCGGCTTCCTAACCGCTTGGTCTTACGAGAGGCTCAATGTCTTGCACCAAATCGCCGGATACATTACCATCGTTCTCATCATTGTCCACGGTGCCACATACTCAGCCTACTTCATCGAGGCTGGTAACATGGCACGCCTGCGTGTTGCCGAAGAAATCTACGGCATCGCTTCCGGATTCACCTTCCTCTCTCTTGTGCTTGCCGGCGCCATCGTACGGTTGTGGTACTATGAGCTTTTCTACATTCTTCATGTATCCTTCTTCGCAATTTCGATGGTTCTCGTCGGTCTTCACCAGCCCGAACTTAGCAAGAAGATCATCATCATTACGGCTGTTGCTGCTGGAATCTGGGTTGCGGACCGCGTTGTGAGATTCATTCGCGTCGTGCTCTACAGCTTCAACAACAACGCAACCGTCTACCCGCTCCCCCACGGTGGCACTCGCATCATCCTCAAGAAGGCCCCCGTTGGCGCAAGCTCTGGAGAACACTGCTTCCTATGGGTTCCCAAGATCCGCGCTCTGGAGATGCACCCTTTCACCATTGCCGCCATGAACCCTCTCGAGTTTGTCATCAACTCGTACGATGGCTTCACCCGCGAGCTCCACGAATACGCAGTCCAGAACCCCGGTGCAACCCTCAAGGCTTCCGTTGAGGGCTCCTATGGAACGTTCCCCAACCCTTCCGAGTACAACAAGATCGTACTCGTCGCTGGAGGTAGTGGAGCCAGCTTCACTGTTGGCACGGTCCTCAACCTGTTCAAGAAGGTCGCACAGGGATCTATGCCGAGTGTCACTTTTGTCTGGATGGTCAAGGATCCCGGTAAGTACATTTCGCGATTAACTTTGTCTCCCAAACCCCCAAACTAATGGATCTCTCAGCTCGTCTCGAGTGGTTCGCCGGTCACCTTTCCACTATTCGTCAGGCCCTCGGTGCCAACATCCAACTCTACGTCACCCGCACGCCTGGAAGTCAGGGCTCCTCTTCCCAGAGTCCCGGCTCTTCCAAGGAGGACCGATCCCGCTCGGGCACCATCTCGTCTGAGGCGTCGACACCCTTCACCCCTTCATCTGAGAAGTTCGAGACCACCAATGGCGTTCCTCAGCAGCCTCCTCGTATCAACACTCGCACCGTGTCCGACCCCGAGAAGTCCGGCTTCGAGTCTGACGCCACATCGCCTTCGTCTCCCACCATCCAGCAGAACGGAGCTTTGAACAGCTTGGGCGGTATCCCTGTTCACTACGGACGCCCCGACGTCGCCAAGATCATCCAGAATGCTATTGATGAGACGCCCTCTGGCGACCGAGTTCTCGTCATGGGCTGTGGCCCTGAGGGCCTGATGACGCAGGTCCGCAATACGACTGCCAGGTGTATCCGCACATCTGGTCCGGCCGTGGAGCTTCACTGCGAGCAGTTTGGCTGGTAATTCGTGACAGCCGTCCGTGGGAAATGCATCCTGAGTTACGAGCGAGTGGTTGAGCATGGCTTTCTTGTCGTCAACATACTTACTGGCTCATATCACTGGCGTCACTCCACGAAGTTCTTCGTGTGCATATTTTGATTTCCTTTGGTCTCTTTGTATGGTGTTGGAGTATATACGGGTACAGGAACGGCCTTCTGGTTTTGCTCTTCTTTTTGCTTTTATGCGGCAGCAGCTTGGCAACAAAAAGAACAGAGGACATAGGGATTGGATCCTTTCTTAGGGTTTGGTCAAAGAGACATCGTTCTGCTAGGTAGCTGCCGCCCGGTCATTGTCGTCGCGCGCGCGTTCA